TGGAGGGACATCCTTGAATCATCGTCCCCACGGCATACCAAAAAAAGATCCACCTTCCATTTAGATCTGTCAGTACCGAAACCACATCATGGTTGGGATTCAAATAAGATGCCGCAATGTGTTCGCGGATCGCTTGTGGACTGTGGTCTTTCCTTTTCATGTTGTTGGGTGTTTTCAATTCCAGCAAAGTTTCTATGTTGTTCCGAAAAGCACGACTGCGAACATGCTGGGATTTTGCTATAGCAACATCCGTAATCCCACTTACTTTCGACTCTCTGTCATACCTCCAAATAGCTCCACGGAAAGCAGCGTCCTTTCTGGTTGCACATCCGCCAAATCGTAGTCACCTGGAATCTGCAACATAGTCCTGAGATAAGCCATATACGCCAGTCGATTTTCCTCACTATGTTCGTCGCCCTTAAGCCACGAATGCGCACTAACGCGCTGCAAGGTTGAAGCCTTGTTTGGCCGGCCAAGAGGCGCCTTTCTCCGGTAGCCTCAGCATGTCCATCAAGTCGTTCTTCGCTCCTGGCGTTGCGTCAGAGAGCCTAATTGTTCTTTTCCTTTTCTTAGTCACATACCCGTAGTCGTCTGCCATTTCGTTTAGCGCTGCTATCGTCGACTCGGACATCAGTGGCAGTTGCTGAATATCATCTTGAACTATTATAAAAAGATGGAGGAAATGGGAGGTGAGCAAATTGACAATACGTACACAAACGAACCAAATGCAATACACTTCTCACCATCTGGTGCTCGTGCTACCGCAATTAAGGGATTCTTGGTGCTAGTGCCAGCAGGTACATCGTCACCAGGATCCATAGCGTTGTTTTCGGGGAAAAGTGTGGTTCCAGGGAGGTACACGTAAATTTCGCTACGGTCACAGTGGCTGAGGCTGTTCTTCTTGTCATGCTCCTTCAGTCTCCGCCCCAAGCCACTAATCTTCCCGTTTTTTATTTCCGATCGCTCAATGTCGATACAAACGGTTGTTGGGAATTTGGTGTGTTTTTTTGGTGTGTTGATTGGTGTGTTTAATTAAGTGGCAGTACCTTTTCACTGGTAATTTGGTGTGTTCAACTGGTAATTTGGTGTGTTTATTTAACGGGGCAGTGCCTTTTCACAAGTATTTTGGTGTGTTTTCTTTGCTTTAAGTGTGTTTCTATTAACTAATGGCTTTACCTTTGCAGGCTAGCTTTGCCGTAGTGTGTTTTTATCAAAGACCCACTTCCTCTCAGACCCTTCAATGTCGTCTGTCAGCTTTACAATTGTACTCGTACTGGTAGGTTTCAATGATGACGGGGCTGGAGCTGCCCATGGCAACCTGTAGGGCCTCCTGAAGGGTCTCTTTAAGTGGTTGCAATCACATGCCACCCTGCCTGTACATATGAGGAGATCATTGTTTGTTTGTTGTTTCCATTTTTGCTCATAGGTACAATAATGATGGACGATCAGAGAAGACAGAGGGATGACAATCAAAGGTTACCACCAGTACCGCAAAATGTGGAAGCCTATCGAACATGGCTACAATGTTTTGAGAACTATCGTTGAATTTCTTCTTGGTCACAGCTATATTGTACAGGTTATTGATGAAATTAACGCAAACAAAGAATCCACAAAGAAGTGAAATTAGATATAGAACTTGGTAGTTATTCTTTAGTTGGTAGAAGTTTGATACTATTTTGGTTATAGTGAAAGTTTGCGTGTTTTGTACTCACTAGTGTATAGACACGCAAACGCATACGCATACGCAAAATTAATAAGCCCCGGGATTGCTACATGTAGATTCTCCCTGCCTCGTGCCTCGGTGGTACTAATAACGAAGCCGGTGCGTATCTTGCGCTCGTCATTGTCCCTTGTCCCAAAGAAAAGATGACCCTGATTTTTAAATCTTCCAGTCTTGTCATAAGTCTCCAACACCTGACTCCAAATCAGCTCCCGGTCAGCTACTATAGCGACAGGGGGTAGGGAGCACTACATACAGCCTGTGCATATGAACAGGGAGGATGCCCGCAGATTGAGAGCAAGGCCAGCCATTTTTTTGGCCTGAATTCAAAACGTCCAATTTCCTGTGCAATCGAACAGGATAGCGACGCCTGTTCAATTGCACAGGAAATTAGACGGCCTGTGCAATCGAACAGGATGGCGACGTCCTGTTCAAATGCACAGGAGCTCGATGTCCTGTTCAAATGCACAGGAATTGTGACGTTTTTTTTCTGGGTAGGCTTTCTCATTACTCAACAGTATAGATCTGACATTACATTCAGCATTACAGTCAAGCATGTCCTCTGCGTTCAGTCAAGCTGATGATCAACTCTCCTCTGCTATCTCGCAGGCCGAGGTATGGACGTCTCCACCCGAAATAATTCAAGTAGCTGGATCTCTCAAAGACGATGGAGACAGAAAGGAAATCAATCTTATTGCAATACACGGCTCTTAGCCTTATTCGCGACTCGATCCTAGATAGGGTTTGAGTTCGACTCATGACTGAGTCTCTCGTGAATAGTCATTGAGACAGGGTTCTCATGACCGCTAGTCATACTAGGTCGATGGTGAAACATCGCGCTAGATATTTAGCTGGCGTGGAGAGATTCCACGCTACTAGATAAATGCTAGACGAATCTTCCACGCGTTCCGTTTTTGGATCGTGGAACGAGTAGGATTACTACCACAACCTACTCTATCACACTTTACAGTCTCCCGCGGGAGTTCAGATCTACGATCCCTTGATTGTGATCTCTCTCGTTGATTAGTTTTCATAGCTTTCTAATCCTCTCATAACTTTCATTCTCTCAAACTCAAAACACTCGAAAGATCTTTACACTAGCTTTAGCGTAGTGCATTTTGTTAACAGACACAATAGCTTTCAGCTACCCTCAACCTATTCCTTCACCATGAAGATGGCTCAAGGAAAGCATGCGTTCCGCAACTTCGAGAAACAGTTGCGTGACAAACCCATTCTTCCTCTCGTCGACAATGACGAAGAAAACGAGATCGACGATACTCGTGCAACCACTTGCAAACTCTGAAAATGAAGAAGACTCCAACCAGCATGCACGTCAGATTTCCTGTGCAATTGCACAGGAAGCACGTCGGATTGCCTGTGCAATTGCACAGTCGCCTGTTCAATTGCACAGGAATCGCGTCGCCTGTTCAATTGCACAGGAATCGCGTCGCCTGTTCATTTGCACAGGAATCGCGTCGCCTGCCAGGCCAAAATTTGACTGCAGGCTGGCTCTCTAAAAATCCTGTTCATATGCACAGGCTGTATGTAGTGCTCTCTACCCCCTGTCCCTGTACTACTTCTGCAAATCAGTCATAATTCTGGTTCATTCCTCAGACTTGCAACCAGTCTTCTCGCCTGAAAAGAGAGAATTTCGACAAAAAATCTTGCAGAACGAGCAAGACAAACCATACAACAGGAATACTCTAGCTAACAGCTAGCTAGCTAGTAGCAGTTTTCTTTTCTAATAATAATAGCAGTGTACCGGTACGCGGACGCAAAAGCCCGAAATCCAGATATCATCATCTGCAGGAACCGCCCACCCACCATTACGGTACGTGAAGGGTTTCTGGATCAAAGCTAGCCAGTAGTCTAGCATTCCAGGAGTGATACCGTAGCAGCAATGGTATCTGACAACAAAGGCGTCTCAAACAGATGTTTACAGACACCACCAGCCAGGCCCAAATGGGACCGGTTAACCATGACTATTGATACGCAAGTTTGGTGCCAATTCAGCCCAAGAAGAAGAAGCAAGCAACATCATATTGCCTCACTACAAGCAAACCTCTAGCTATGCCAACCGCAAAGGAGAGACACAGAAGACTTGCTGCTTAAGATGACAAAGCCTGTCGCATTTTGCGTTCTGGCTGAGTGTGAGAGGAAGTTGCAGCCATGGAGAGACTGCCAAAAAATCTTGACTCTCCAAGGAAGGTCTAACAGAGGCAATGCGCATGGCGCATGGATCATTTATTTGTTTGCCTCTTGTACGCAACCTCTCTCGGTGATGATGAGGGAATGAGGGATTGCCCATGCACATGAGCACATGACCGGTCGAACCGCTAAGGAATGTTCATACATGTGGCAGTTTGGTCTGTCAAAAAAAGGAGTTAGGGTGAGGCGATTGTTGCCATCCATCACACACCCAAATGGATTAGATCATCATCCGTACCTTCCACAGACTTCGATTATTGGGAGCTTTCAGAAAGGTAGTTGAATGGATTGGTGGATGAGAAGAAGTCATGGGGCTTAAATAAATTTAACTGCCACTCTTGGCTCAACGGGCCAAGAGTGGCCCTCAACGCACAAGGAACCCGGAAAACTAACTCAATTGCCTACCCTCGTTGCCTTCCTGGCGAGCCAATTGATTTGGAGATCTTACTTAACGGAATGTTCACCTTCTCTAAATCTTCAATCAAGTAAGTCAACGCAACCACATGGTTTCTGGGGACTTGTTGAATTAATTGATTAGGGTCATTATTGATATTTTGCTCTACTTATAAGTCTCTAACGGCTCGTCGGTTAAATCTACTCATCTACCCAATCCATTCAACTACCTTTCTGAAAGCCCCCATTGTCCAACCATGCTCGAGCTTTCAACTTTCAAAGACATGGCATGACCGGGCTCTAAAATCAAGGAGCATTATTTAACAAGGGTAATAAGCCAAAATGAGACTTGTACATGTAGATGAACATGAAGCTAATGCATAGACGAGGTGTCCGTAGAGTCATGGCCACGTACCACGTGCCGGTACCTGGTATGTCGGTGTGGACTTGCTACAAGAGGCATTCGGATCGTCTTTGAAGCTCTTTAAATACTAGTATGCTTTTGACTCGGACATTGTTTCTAAAGGAGGAAGGGCACAGAAAGTTCAATATTCAATAATTCAATTATCTGGTCATTGGAAAGGTTCCAGTGCAGTCAGTACTGGTACCGGTAATAGCACACACCGGGACAGCCTTTTTCTCAGCTCTCGCCTCGAGCATCGAGCGCACAATCTTTGCAAGGGGTAATACCTCAACAACACCATTTCGCTGCTACTGTAGCTAGCTAGGCTAGTAGTATAGACCCCAGCCGACCATGACTACCGAAGGAAAAAGAGTGATCTGCCTATTAGAAGGACAGGAGAGACCCAAGGGGGTTGACGGTGAGGAGGAGTTCAACGTTTTAGATGTTGTAGCGGCACGCCTCAAAGGTGCGGTCGAAGAAGAAGAGTCGGTATCCAACGAGCAACAGGATGAAGAACAGGAACCAGCTGCCAAGAGAGCCGCACAACTGGAAGGAAACGCAGATTCAGCACGATCCCTACTGAAACTTGTTCAAGAAACACAGACCAAGCATGAGCAAGCAGCTAAGTGTGACCCTCCAGCTCTGGAGGACGCCCAAGACTCCATGGTTATCCCACCAAGAATGACCCGTGCGTCAAATGTGGTTTCGTTTCCTGGTGCCTTTGCTGTGTCACCTGGTCCATTTGCCGTGTCACCTGGTGCAGACTATGAAATCAACGACGATGAGGAGCTTGGAGGAACCAATGGATCAGGTGCCGCACGGTCAGCATCAAGTGCCGTGATGGACAGTATGACTGCAGCAAGCGCTAGCCGCTTAGCTGTGGCCAACCCGGTGGAGGAAACAAATCCTCAGGAACTACAACATGCTCGAGAACTCCGATTGGCAGACGAAGCAACAACAAGAAGGCAAAAGGATAAACAATGGAAGACCAGCATTCTCTTGGCAGGACTAGTTATCGTGGCAATCGTTGTCGTTTCGGTGGCTCTTCTGGTGCCCGGCAAGAATGAGAAGGTTGTGCCTACTATTACAGTAGCTCCAACCATGGCTCCATCAGAGGCTCCAACCACTGTTCTGTCTTTTATCGAGGGAAGGATCATGGCCTTGCTGGAACCAGACACCCGTATGGCTATCCAGCATGGCCCAAGTTCTCCTCAGTCTCGGGCATTTCAGTGGTTGTTGGAGGATGCAGAGAACCTACCGGCTTACTCGGACGCTCAGATCCAGCAAAAGTTTGCATTGGCAGCACTATACTTTTCTACAAAAGGCGACTCCTGGATGAATAGGACCAACTGGCTCAATCACAATGTGAGTGAATGCGAGTGGTTCAACAAACCAGACTTTGCCAGGAAGAGCGCTCTGGGGCAAATCTTTAAAGGCTATTTGGATGAATTCGCAGCGGAGCCAATGCCTCGTCAGCACTGCAACACGGACGGCATCTACCAACACTTGTGGCTGGATCTCAACAATCTAGTTGGCACAATCCCTGAGGAGATTTACATGCTTTCTTCTCTTCAGACTCTCTCACTGAGCAACAACAAACTAAGTGGATCAATTCCAACTTCCATTGGACGGCTCTCTGCTTTAGAAGGTCTTGTCATCTTTGACCAGCCAACAGATGGCAATATTCCCTCCGAGATGGGGCTATTGACCAAATTAAAGTCAGTGATCCTTAACAATGGCAACCACCAAGGGACGCTGCCCGTGGAATTTTGGGGTCTCACCAACATTGCTACATTTGCCTTCACGCTAACACCAAACCTTCAAGGCTCGATCCCTTCTGAGATTGCCAATATGTCCAATCTGAGATGGCTTGTGTTTGATGGATGCAGTCTCACAGGTAAGCTGAAATATCTCCTTGTTGTTCTGAATGTACTAGCTATGGCAAACCACTCAAGTTGCATTGATGGTATGATGGTACCAACAGGCACACTCCCAAAGGAGCTTGGAAAGATCCCTTCATTGGAGTGGCTTGTTTTCCGAGACAATATGATTACTGGAACTGTTCCCAGTGAGCTTGGTACAGCTTCAAATCTTGTGATTGCTGCATTTCGGGGCAATGCATTGGATGGGAGGCTTCCCAGCGAAGTGGGCTTGCTCACAGCTCTTACACAGTTTGGACATCGGGGAAATCAAGTGAGTGGACAAATCCCAAGTGAGCTAGGGCTTCTGTCGGGGTTGACACAAGGTCTTCACCTTCGGCAAAATGCATTTACTGGAACCATCCCAACAGAGCTTGGGCTCCTAACAGGACTACATGAGCTCTGGTTGCAAGACAACGACCTTTCTGGTCCGATTCCTAGTGAATTTGCAGAACTCACAACCCTAGGTTACATGGTCATGGCAAACAACAACTTGTCCGGTTCCATCCCTACAGATCTGTCCAAACCACTACCCAATCTTCATACCCTATCCTTGGGCGGAAATCTTATGCTTTCGGGCACTGTCCCAGAAGGAATTTGCAACCTCACTGGAACCTGCACCATGTTCAAAAAGGTGGCAGAATCATGCTTATATCCACAAGGTCTACATTTTAACTGTACAGAGTTGCTGTGTGGCTGCGATTGCCCCTGTGGGATCCACCCCTAAGATCAGTCTGTTTACAGTGCACGACACCGGTTGCCAGCAAGGTCAAGCACTTGATGGAGGGCCAGCAGCAGCACATCGCCGGTGTAGTTGCTCGGCCCTGAATTATGTCTAGTTTGAACGCACTAGATGTTCAAACACTACCTGCAGCATTCCCTTCCGCTCCTTTTCGCCATTTGTCAAGCAGCTCGCGTTGACGGTGCTGCTTTTCTCTCGTTACCAGTTTTCCCAGGGCGAATGCTCAGGCCTGGTTCGAAACAAGAGTGGCCTTTGCTGTGTATTCTTCCTTAGCCTGCTCGCTTCGAATAGGCCCCGTCTATGCCGTCGGCAACTATCTTCTGGAAAACACCAGCAGTGCCGGCCTTCTTCCTTGGCTCGTCACCGTCCATGACTGCAAAACAACACGATCAACCCCCTGCCGCACTTCCTGATTACGGTTTTGCCTGACAACTTCTCTCGAAGCTCCTTGATCTTTGTGCTCAGATGGTGGTCACTTCCCCAGGATTTTGAAACTGACCTCATTCCATTGACCGCATTCGTGCAGAGTCAAGCTACGCAACCGGAACCGGCGGTAGGTTGGGCAGATTCTCACCGGGCAGCCTCCCAGAAATCCCTCGCAGGCGCATTTGCAGTTCCGTCGTCTTGGAGATGCACGAGGAGGTCGCCCTTTTTGAAGCCTAGTCTAAACAACCCGCCCTCTGTGACGGATGTGATTCTCCTTCAGCACTCCCTAAACTGCAAATGTGGTGGTTTAGTCACTTTGCACCATGACTGAATCGGTGACGAAGTTGGTGCTATTGCATAACTTGCATGCGCTATTTCCGCTGTTGCTAGTCCTTGCAGAACCTACGTCTCAAATATTCAAGCTTCTACATTACATGTACAATCCCGACAGGTCATCCTTTTCCATAGTCCGACGCTCAAGCAATCCTGCCCCAACTGATCCACCCCCACCAGTTGAAAAAGTACGACGGTCGTCTTGCCCATTTAATTTCTGCATCTCATCAGAAGCAGAATCCCAAGAAAGTCTTCAGTGTCCCAGCCATATTTCAAGGCGCTCTCTGCGGACAGCATGCTTGATCCCTAAGCCAGAGTTCTTCTACGCGGACGTGTCGCTGCCAATGCAGACAAGACTCAATGCTCTTACGATGTTTTGACACGGCTCTCATTGTGAGGTGTCCCGCCTTTGCACATGTGGATCCAGACCAAAGCTCCCCTTCCAGTCCCCTAGCCAGTTTGTCCAACGTGATATCACCAAACCCAGTCCTAAACTTTCTGGAGCTCGGATCACTGCCAGCTTTTGTGCACTAAAACGAATAATCCAATACTCTAAATAGCTAGCTACCGGTAGGCCCCCCTTTCTTAGCATCCAAAGCCAAAGCTTCAGAGCACCATGCAGCATCGCAAAGGGCTTGAATCATTCAATCGAATGGATCGTTCGATTCTATTCGAATCGAATGAATCGAATCATAAATTCGAACTTGGGTGGCAACAACCTGCAAGCTACCGTATCGGTACGACTGTAGCGGTAACAAAGACCATGAACAAGACAAGCATGTTGGGTTGTATATGATGCCGTATCGCATTGTGAAGAAGCGCGCTGCCTCGACGGAACAGTTGATTGATTCGATCAAAATTCCTCTTGCTTTCCATATGTTCTCTTGTGGTGGTGGGTGTGGCGGTGGAGTCATGAAGTGCAGTCGGGAGCAACGGAGCAACCACAAGATGGCTTCCCCACTCTGGTTAGACCCCCCTTTTAAAAGGAACTGGCTCTTTGAGAGGGGCGGAGAGAGCATTTTGAGTCGAGCTTCAGGGGTGACAGCGTGACAGCTCAGACATGGTCACGGTTGCTAAGATTGGCAATCAGAGCGCATACTGGTACAGATGAGTAGATACTGGAACCTGAGACGTGGACGTGGTTGTCAGCAAGTACGACTGATAAAAGATACCGCCCCACCAAGGGCGATGGTGTGATCAATTGCTCTCCCACAAAACCAAAAAGCAAAAGATGCCACCTTATCTGAACGAACAAGGATTCGACGACGACGAAATCGGTCTCTTCGGGAGGCCTGTGGATGGTGCTTCTGCGCCCTCATCTGGTGTTCCTCTGGTCGGAGTTAGCTTTGAGGTAAGAGGGCTGGCAAAGCGTGCTGCGACAGTCTCGTTCTTGGCTCAGCCATTGACGCCTTTGTTCCGTGTTTTTCCTCTATCCTTTTTCTGCCTGTAGGCGCATGCAGTGGATTTCATTGCCGAGTGCAAACTGACGCAGTGCTACCACAACACTGAGCTCTATCCGGTTGTGGCCAAGTACCATTTCCCCGTGGATGAAGCCGCCGCGGTCTGTGGCTTTGAAGCCGTGTATGAAGATGGAAGGATTGTCAAAGGCGTCGTCAAGGAAAAGGAGCAAGCCAGACAAGAATACAATCAAGCTGTATCCAGAGGAAAGCAAGCAAACCTTTTGGAAGCTGTTCGGAGGGACATTTTGTCCCTCAAAGTTGGCAATTTGCCCGCCGGCTCTCACGTCAAAATCACAATTACCTATGTGACTTCTCTCAAGGCTCGAGGTGACGCTGCGGCGCTCATTGTGCCCACCTACATTGCTCCCCGTTACAGTCCTCCTGACGTTCGCTTGTCTGACCAGGAAGCACAAGCCGTGGCTCCCAACAACGCTTCTGTGTGGATCTTGACAGGAATCTCCATTCGAATCCACTTTCGTTGCCTCTCCAACATTACAGCCATTTCGTGCCCCACGCACGAGGCACAGTATGTTTGCGAGTTACAAGGAAACACTGGGCAAGTGTTGCTGGAAAACATTGTCATGGATCGTGATGTGGTGGCTCTGGTGACGGAAGAGCAGTGCCACCAACCCCGTGCCATTATTGAAAAATCGGGCTCTTCCCTGGCAGGTTTCGTCACGTTGTTTCCAAAGCTGGAGTTTGCCGACGCGAAACGGGAGTTTGTCTTTGTGGTGGACCGCTCCGGATCCATGGCGGGTTCCCAAATCCGGCAAGCACGCGATACTCTGTTGCTGTTTCTTCGAGCTTTGCCTGTGAATTGCACCTTCAACATTGTGGGCTTTGGGGGCACGTATAGGTCTCTTTTCAAGGTACCCGTCGCGTACAATGACGAGACTCTGGAAACGGCAACGCGGTATGCCCAAAACATGACGGCCAACATGGGAGGGACGGAGATCAAAAGGCCGTTGGAATACGTGTTTGGCCAGCCATCGGCTCTCAGCAATGTGAACAGGCGAGTGTTTGTGCTCACAGACGGACGAGTTTCCAATGACAAGCAAGTCTTTGAAGTCATCCGACGTCATTGCGCCACCAACCACGCCACCAGCAGACTTTACAGCGTGGGCGTCGGAAGCGGTGTCAGCCGACATTTGGTCGAGGGTATGGCGCGGGCTGGTCTTGGCACGGCTCGTTTTGTCGGGGACGGTGCCGCTGACGCGTTGAGAGAAAAGGTCCTGGGGCAGCTCAAACAGGCGCTTCAGCCTTCGTTGCACAATGTGAGTATCAAGTGGAACATGCCAACGAAAGAGCAGGAGGCGGTTCCACCTGCGCCCCCTCCGGTCAAGACACTCCTGGGATATCGCAGCCCTTCTGTCGACATCGTTGCACCTCCCAATCAAGGGGCCCAACCGAAAATCTTCCCCAACAATATTCCTCCCGTGTTCAACTGTGAGAGGTTTCTGTCCTTTGCTCTTTTCCCCGTGGAAAGCGGCGTCCCGAAGAGCGTCACTGTGTCGTGCTTGACGCCCGATGGGGCACTGGAAACGACTCTGGATATTGCAGCGGGGGACGTCTTCCAGGGCAACACAGCTCACAGAATGGCTGCGCGTGCTGCCATCATTGAGTTCGAGGACACGAGGAAGTCGATGGGTCAAAGGACGTTTGCGCCTGCGGCGACAACTGCCATTAACAAAACCGAAGCTTTGCAACTCGCTCTTGCAAACAGACTGGTCTCGGAGCAGACGTCGTTCGTTACTGTCCTCGAAGACTCTGTTGAACCTGCTTGGCGTGACCCAGTGGCCTGTGTCCCCGCCGGCTCTCGATTTGCTGCTGCGGCCGCCGTGGCAGGTAAAGGCATCGATAAGCCAGAAGAACCAGGTTCAGATTGGGTGGTCCTCCCACCCACGACCGACGTGTACATCCCACCAACCGCCCGTGCATCAGCGCGATTTCAGCGTTGCGCAGCCATGAACGGCAGCTTTGATATGGCTAAGTCTCTTTTTGGCGTCTGTCCCGAATCCGATGACGAAGAAGATGAAGTGAACATTGGACGCAAATTCGCTGCCGACCCGGATGATGACGAAGACGGAGGTCGCAGGTTTGGCGGCCGTGGTTTGCTTCCCAATCCCCCTGCCCCTGCTGCTCATGGTGTCTTCTTGCGTCATGTTGAGAGAGTAATAAATCATAAAGGCGAGCATGAATACGCCGAACGAAACGTTCAAGAATTCAAATACAAGACAGAAGATGAAGGACAAGTGCTGGATCACTATGTCCCAGATGGTGGAGTGTATGATCCGGGGCCTGTGGTAGCAATGCCCAAATACCAGCAGAGAGGCGGTGGCGGTGCTCAAGTCAGCTCAGACGACGTTGGTCTGGGAGTCTTCATGGAACACTGTAGGTTTGGCTCTTGCGTGTTTGGCCCTGTGTGCGTTTCTCTCGTCTCACCACCTCTTCCTCATGATGATGTGCAGTGGCGAAATTGGCAGTGGAGAGTGATGGTCCGACGGTCTCTGATGGCTCTCATGGGAACGGCCAGTCATCCTGTACCGAACGCGCAAGGGAAGGTATGTTGTTATATCCGTCGGCATGCTAACTTGTGGGCTCTGGTGTGCTGACTTGTGTTTGGCTCTCCTTGTACCCCTCAGGCGCCGAGAAGGAAATCGAAGCTTACAAGGCAATGGTTCAAGAAGAGAAGAAGGCGGACAAAGAGAAGTCCAAGAAGGCTGCCCAACAACAGACTCTCATCGACGAGAGTGGCAAGATTATCGAATATTTGCGTAAGGAGAACATGAAGCTGCGAAACCAGAATGGCTCTATGTGCAAGGATTTCAAGTCACTCAAAGAGAACAACGCCAGGCTCATGGAAGCCAATGCCTCAGCTTCCGCTTCGTTCACTTCCCTCAATGATCACGCGAAGCAACTGAATGCCGCCAATGTGAAGTTGGTCAAGAATGCGGAAGCCTACAAGGCACAGCTCGAGAAATTGAAGGAAAATTTGAAGACGCGCCAATCATACTACCTGGCAGAGGCTGAAGCTCGTCTTGCGTATCAGAAAATGATGGCTCAAATTGTTGGTACAATTCAAGATAAATGCTGTGATGCTCAGTTGACGGAGGATGTTGTGAGTATGGCTCTAGAGTGCGAAGCAGAAGCTAAGAGCGAGCGTGCTGCCCTTGATGATGCTGGCAAGAAGGCCGCCGCACCTGCTCCGGCTGCCGCTAAGAAGAAGGCACCGCCACCACCGGACAGCAGCAAGGATTGCGAGACGTTGAAGGAGGCCAATGCAAGACTCACCGAGGCATGCTGTGCGGCAGGTTCCCAGGCGGGGAATTGTGAGAAACTACCCACACAAGACAAGCTCTTGAGCCTCTGTCTTTTGCAAAAAGCGAATGGTTCCTTCGTGTTACACAGTTCTCTCGCCCAAGCCTTGGGTTTGAGCGAGAGTGCTACGCACAAGATTGTGGAGGCGCTTATGCTCGAGGCTGATGTTTTGAACCCTGGAAGCGTCAAGGCGACGCTTCTGGCTATAGCGGCGATGAGGGTCTTCTTTGCGACGCAGAAGAGTGTGTGGGAATTGCAAGAAGACAAGGCGTTGCAATACATCGTGTCTTGTGGAGTTGATCGATCGAGCCTCGATCCCGTGCTTCTTTCCCTTGACTCCGCGCTCCGGAACTAGCTAGCCGTTTTGGCAAAACGCAGACGATGAATACTTGGTGTCTTTGGAATGATTGCTAGAAACGGTGTGTTCGACAACCTCCTCCTCCGTTTGTTAATAATCACTTTTATTGCCTTTGTCTCGCCTGTCCCCGTGTGGTTTCATTCGGCAACAATCATGGACAGTGTCCCTGTTGCCCACGAATTCTTGTCGTCTTTAAGCACATCAATCGGTTTCTGGAAGGATTTCAAAGATCGTTTGAAGATGTCTTCTTCTTCTTCTTCTTCGTCACAATCATCATCACAGGGCAACATCACGGAGAGCATGTTCATTGCCCAGGAGTTCTTGCCAATCCCAAGTGCATCCGTTGTGTCTTGTTGGTAGTTGCTTTCCAAAGGTTTCAAAGATGCCAGTGATGCCTGGTCTTCTTCATCTGTTGCCTCCTCATCCCTGCTTTGATTGCCATCACTGCCTTCCATGATTGTTTCAAAACGATGAGTCGGTTTAGTCTTTAATTGCCTAGTCGCTTGCTCAGGTCTGTCTGGTGTCACCTCAGTTGAACCAANNNCCCATACCTGAGTAGAGGCTGAGGGTGTGCTGATTCCGGCCGTCTGACGGTCAACCGTCAACCAGAATCTAGCCTCCACCCATCTACAGATCTACAGATATACAGAGACAACAAAGTAGCATTTCCTCATAATCTTATAACATCATTCGTAATACATCTATCGCTACCTTTAGTCTCTTCAACAGCATCATCCAAATGAACTGAGTAGATCAAATTCCCGAAACTGAACGACAACAAATTGAAAGTTTTAGCATGATGGTGTCATCCTGACATAGTTGTTTTCCTTGTGAGCAAACAACACTCACATCAATGTGACAACCACAAAGTCATTCATCCAAATGATTACACTGATAAAAAGGAACAACCATTCATGCAATGTCAGCCAGTATTCCCGGAGCCCAATTACCAGACCAGACCGGAACAGAAGACTTGCATACCTTCGAACGAAGAACCCTGTTTGAGGATCCGCTCCAATGATCACAAGAATTGGCACACCCACCACAAAGATTTGAAGGTTACTTATCATTGCTATGGAAATGTATTTGCCTGCACAACAGAATCCATCATACCTGATAAGACACATGGACCACATCAAAAAATAAGTTTCATCTCTGACTCGAACAAAGCACTCACCTTCAGCAAACCTTGTGGGAATGTTTCGTGCTGCATAGCACATGAAGCATGCCACTGCCATGAGCAGCAAATGCAATGTGACAATAAGACCTGCCCAAATTGCCCAGTGTTCTGCAGTGCAATATCCAATGCTTTCTAAAGGCACTCCAAAGATATCTTCTGTGAGGACTTCTCGCTGCCATTGCAAGGGATCTAGTGCTGTCCAGAGAATCAAAATGATAACATCCACTGCGAGGACAGCCCCAATGACAGCCAGTGTTTCCCACACACTGACCAATTGCTTTCTATTCCCAAAGGTACTGACCGCATTCCTGAAGATGAAGAATACACTGTTTCAAATGACAACAAGGGATAAAAAATGAGGCATTGTTTGAACTTTGCTACTGCCCATGCTTGGCCCCGAACATCGTACCGGCGGATCTTTGCAAAGAGTGTCCCAAAGGTGATGCAAACTGAATTTGATCATTCAATAAGATGATGAGATCAAATAATGAGATGGTCGATCCACTGCAAAACTCTGCATCACAAAGCATTCATAGGCTGCCCACTTACATCCAACACTGTACAGCCATGGAATTGCCATGCAAGCAGGTACCGGTCCTTCTCCAGTGTCTTCTTGTGTCATTGCAAGAATGGCACTGCTGCTAATCAAGCAGCCTGCCAAAACCAAGCACAAGAATGAAGGTTGGCTAACCATCACTTGGGGAGTTCTTCGTTTCCAGTACAACCACACTGCACAAAGCATGATCGTAAAAACATTCAGCATGAACATGATATAGGCAGCCCAGACCATGTCACCTGATAGAGAGTTGACATTTTCGGGCACCTCAATGGAACAGTCATCACCAGTCCATTTGCTTGACTTGCAAATGCAGACACCTCTTGCATTACTGTGGCCATGGTCCGGGTCACAAGGTAGTTCGCACTGCTCTCCTGCAGTTCCGATGGGGCAAAGTGCCTTTTGGAAATACTTGGAAAAGAGCTCGTCCGTGGTGGCATTAGTAATTGCATCTCGCATCCACTTATCCAGCAATGTACGTGTGGTTTGTGGCAATGCCCGGGAGTATGCCCATACTATATTCTGGGAAATGCAGAAAAAGAGATTATGTGACGGGTGTGGTGGTGGTGGTGGCAAGAGACACATAGTTTGGTTGACGTACCTGTGTATTGAACCGCTCGCCGGTGACTTCCAGGGAAGGATCCCAGGCTGCTGCATAGTGTAATTGGAGTTCATCGTCACAGGTGAGAACACATTTATCTTCTTTGAGCGATTGGATACACGCTTCATGACTGGGGCAAGTGTAATAGGCAGCTGCAGGGAATTTTTCTCGGACGACTCTAGCATAGAACGTCCCGTCTTTGAGGCAGATGGGAGCTTGGGCAGCTTGGGCTTGGGAGAGGGTTGTGTAATCTGGTCCTGTCTTGTCTACGTATTTGATGGCGGAAATAGAGGATTGAAGAACCGTAGGAGATAGATGAGCTCGCAAATGCCGGGAAGCCGTGGCGTAGTAATTGGCAATGATAATATCGAATTTGTCGCAATCTTCGGCAGAATGAGTGGTATTGCTGGCAAGGTCCACACAATCACTGGCCACCAAATCAAATGCAGCACCGTATTGAGGAGGGCTCAGGTCTAAAGTCACGTCAAATGTGATATTATCATACTCCTTGGCAAAGATCTGCATTCTCCTTAGCAGATCGATCTGAAAGCCGCCGAATTCACCATCTTCAGACTGAGAGGCAAAGGGAGGAGCCACCAGAACTCCTGCGCGCAATGATATGTGAGATGGAAACGTCCAAAGGTGGCTGTCCTTGTCTATTGCAGAACTTGGAGTCGTAGTGGCTACCATTGATGGGCTCGACGTAAAAGGAGCACCACTGTCGTTTTCTCCGATGATCGTAAAAGTTGTACCTTCGGAGGCACTAGTTTGCAATGGTTGTAGAAGTGCCATTGCTGACAACATCTTCATAAAGAACAACGCCTTGCAGATTTCGCTACCACTCATCATCGTACGATTCTTAAAGTTAGAAGGGAGAAAGCTTCTGGGAAGATTTACTTGGCGGTGAGGCAAAGAGACGATTTCGCAGGAGCTACAGGATCTCGGCAAGTACGGTATGCGGTGGGGCTTCCTCGTCCTTGAGGCTTTGGGTCAAAGCGAAAATGTGGCAAAGAGAGAAGAGAGAGTTTCGAGAGACTTTTTCAGGGGCCAACGTCAGCTTCAGCCACCTAAATGCAAGCGAAGCCAAGTTGTTTATGTGGCCACCCTTCGTTGGTGCGTGGCAAGGCGGCATTATGAAGCAAAGGAGAATGAGGATTTATCAGCATCACATCCTGGTTCGAGTGACCCGACCCGTACCGGTGAGGTTCTGGGGCAACTCGAGCTGCGGTTATCGTGCCACTGGTAATTGCAAGACTGCAAGTACATTTTACAGTACAGCGTACGAATACGGGTGCAGGTCATTCTGCCAAGGGATGTGAAAGCAATATTTGGCCAAACAGATATTGGTAGATGCGATGAAAACTATAGGGTTCTCATGCAACTCGAGCAATTGCAAGTACCGGTGTTACAAGGGATGAGGAAGCAATAGCTAGCTAGCCAAAAAGTAGGTGATAGTAGACGTGATGAGAAACATGAGGAGTCGAGAAGAAACCTGAGGAGGCCACAAGAAGGGCCCAGATGGTTGGCACCGCGATTGATTGGCACGGGATGATTGGCACATTGGCGATTACCAGTACCATACACTCGCGTCAGGCACCGCTCGGCCTTGAGGTCTTCGTTGCTTCGTGGTTACGAATGTTCAGCAGCAACGCCCGACCGCACAGCCCAATGGATTCGATTGCGCCAGCACCGGTGAGCGGGGTCACATGTTCGTAGTAGCCAGCTAGGTAATATCGGGCTACTACATTGGCTTGATGGTCAAGTGCAACCCGTCAGCAATATCTGCCCTCTCCGCGACGGGTGATGATGAAGCGCGCTGCTCACTGGTCCCGCCTCAAGCAACGGTGATTGGCCGGCAGAAGTCTTGCTGGCTTCACAAAGCTCAATGGGCTGCAGCTGCTACAATGCAAAGCCTTCACCTGCACGACTTTCTCGAAGGAAGCTATTCGCTACCTTGTTCTTCTACTCTTGTGGACTACATGTACGGGACGAGGACATCTTAGCCTGGGTCGAATTCCAAGCAGAGCAACCGTTGAAGTGTTTCAGAAACAGTGGTAGCTTTCGCTTTATATAGCTATACGATATATACACAAGAAGGAACAAACACATCAACCTAAAATGGACCCGAGACAAACGACATTGGGCTGCTCAGAATGTTGCAACCCTCTTGCTGCTCAAGTCTAGGAGCAAGCTAGTCTTCCGCCACGCTGGAGAGGGTACCCATTGCCCATGAATTCTTCTCGTCTTTCAGTGCATCGACCGGTTTTTGGACGGTGTTTGTCTGTACAACATTTGTTTTATCCTCAGCAGCAATCATGGACAGTGTCCCTGTCCCCCAAGAGTTTTTGTCATCCTTTAGCACATCAATTGGCTTTTGGGAGTGTGTCACATTTTTGTCCTCAACCTTTTCATCTTGGTGGTCTTCACATTCACTAGGCAACATCATAGAAACTGTATTCATTGCCCAGGAGTTCTTGTCTTCTCCAAGTGGATCAGTAGTTGTTTTGCTGTTGCCAAAGGTCTTCATGGGCGCCAAGGCTGCCTGGTCTTCCTTGTCTATTTTCTCTTCATCACTTTTGCTGCTGTCCTCTTTGATTGATTCAATCACTGGGGCTTGTTGTGTTTTTGGCTGTGGGGTGGCTTCCGCCGGCCTGTCACTGGCCACCTCCGATGATTCCATGAGCCCAGACTCCTTTGTGCTTCTCTGAACATTGGAGCGATATTCCTGGATAGCACTACCCACCACGTCCCTTACAGAATTTGGACCAACCCCGTTCTCTTTGGTGACATCGTCGAAGTGAACTGAGTAAATCAAATTTCCAAAACTGCACACAGGACCACCAAATGAGCGAAGGAATTCAAGTGCTGGTTCAAGTTGTAGTACACATTCATGTTTTACCAAACTGTGCTTACATCAATGTGACAACCACAAAGTCATTCATCCAGATTATAACACTTGCAAGGTTCACAACACGTGCAATCTGTTAGCCAGCAGGACACCAAACAACCCGACATTGCTAGATTGCATACCTTCGAACAAAGAACCCTGTTTGGGGATCTGCCCCGATGATCACAAGAATTGGCACACCCACCACAAAAATTTGGAGGTTTGATATCATTGCTATGGAAATGTATTTGCCTGCACAACAACAGAATCAATCATAGCTGATAAGACACATGAACCAGCTCAATCATAGACTTCATCTCTGACTCGAACGAAGCACTCACCTTCAGCAAATCTTGTGGGGATTTTTCGAGCGGCATAGCACATGAAGCATGCCACTGCCATGAGCAGCACATGCAATGCGGCAATAAGACCTGCCCAAATGGCCCAGTGTTCCGCTGTACAATATCCAATACTCTCCAATGGCTCCCCAAAAACATCTTCTGTGAGGACTTCTCGTTGCCACTGCAAGGGATCCAGTGCTGTCCAGAGAATCAAAATGATAATGTCCACTGCCAGGACAGCCCCAATGACAGCCAGGGTTTCTGGAAAACTGACAAAGTTTCTACTACTGCTGGAACCTGGCATGGTGATGGCGTTGCGGAAAATCAGGAAAACCCTGTTTAAAAAGGGGTTCAACAATGGATCAAATGAAAGGATGAGAACGATTATCAGTACATCTGTGACCACTCGTTCGAGCTATGGCATGATTGGCCACAAACAACGTACCGACGAATCTTGGCAAATAGTGTCCCAAACGTGACACAAACTGGACATGAAATGCAACAAGATGATGAGACTGGCAGGGCAGTTGAACTCTTGCTGTAGAATGCCCACTTACATCCAACACTGTACAGCCATGGTATTGCCATGCACGCAGGAACAGATCCCTCTCCAGTGTCTTCTTGTGCCAAAGCAAGAATGGTACTGCTGCTAATCAAGCAACCGGCCAGTACCAAGCACAAGAATGAAGGTTGACTAACCTGCACTTGGGCTGTGCATCGTTTCCAGTACAACCACGCTGCGCACAAGCTGATAGCAAAAACATTCAGCATGAACATGACATAGGCAGCCCAGAGCATGCCAGTTGACAGAGAGTTGACATTTTCGGGGACCCCAATGGAACAGTCATCACCAGTCCATTTGCTTGACTTGCAAATGCAAACACCTCTGTTGTTAGCCTTGCCATGGTCCGGGTCACAAGGTAGTTCACACTGCTCCCCTGCAGTCCCAATGGGGCAGAGTGCCTTTTGGAAGTATTTGTAGTAAATTTGATCAGTGGTGGCATTGGTAACAGCATCACGCAGCCACTTGTCAAGCATGATTAGTGTAGTTTGAGGCAATGCCCTCGAAAAAGCCCATACAATGTACTTGGCAATACAGGAAAACATAGATCATGTGAGGGTGTGGTGCTATCATGGTGATGGGAGTGAGACACCATTTCCTTCGCTTACCTGTGTATTGAACTGTTCACCAGTGACTTCCAGGGAAGAATCCCACGCTGCCACATAGAGGAGTTGGAGTTCATCATCACTATACAGAACACACTTTTCTTCTTTGAGTGATTCGATACAATCTTCATGATTGGAACAGCTGTAGTACACCGCATCAGGGAATCGTTCCCGGACAACTGTGGCATAATAGGCACCATCCTTGAGGCATATGGGTGCTTGGGCAGCTTGGGCTTGGGAGAGTGTCGTGTAATCTGGTCCCGTCTTGTCAAGATATTTGATGGCAGAAATGGAGGACCGTAAAACTGGAGGAGATAGATGGACTCGCAAATGCCGAGCAGCCGTGGCATAATAATTGGCAATGATAATATCGAATTTGTCGCAATCTTCAACTGTGTGTGTGGTAGGGCCAGCAAGTTCCAAACAATCACTGGCCACCAGATCTAGTGCCTTGAGGTAGGAAGGAGGGCTCCTTGACATGGTCAGATCGAAGTTTACATTGTCGTATTCCTTGGCAAAGATCTGCATTCTCCTCAGCAAATCGATTTGGAAGCCACCAAATTCACCATCTTCCGATTGAGTGGCAAAGGGAGGAGCCACCAAAACACCAGCTCGTAAGGATATATTGGATGGAAACTGCCACGCACTGGACGATTCTAAAGCTGCTGTAGCTGGACTCGAGGAAGGAGAGTCGCTCTGTGCTGTGCTAATGATATCAAAGCCCTCCGTGGCGCTCGCTACCGGCACTAATGGCAAGAGCACCGACACCACTAGCGGCAAAAGTTGGAGTTTCCCTACAAATCGTCGCATCGTCATTTTGATATCGCTGGTGGTCGGTAGAAAACGAGCAAGACAACTCGCAAGAAGAAGGAGGAAGGCGTACTGGCGAATGGCGTCAGTCGGTGTCCACCAAGCTACCTGATGCACTGCTGACGCTGGACGCTGGCAATATCCAAGTCCTTTCAGGGAGAGATCTGGGGATTTCAAATCAGTCCTTGCTGCGTGGATCGGCGGTCTCTACTACCGGTAGGTCTGTCGGATGGAGTGGAGAAAGGAGTGAAGCGAGCGGCCTGCACACTGGTATTCTAAAGAAGAAGAGAGAGAGAGCGACCCGAGGATCCGCAGATCCGAAGTCTATTCCACTCCTCTCCTCGCAGGCAAGCCGAACAGAAATTCGGAGAAACAGATGATGGTTGAAAGGCCGTTGCAAGTGGATCGAAGAACTGAAGAACTTGAGAGTGACGATGACAGTCGATGACATTTATTTGATTTCTTCAACACAATCAGGATTTTATTAGCATTCGTAGCTTCTCCTTGACGGCATTTTGCTGTGTCATTATGTTCGTGTCGTTCGTTAAAGATTCATATGCCCTCTGGGTCGTCTCCGTTTCCAGTACTAGTTTAACTCGTTTACTAATACAGGATTATGGTGAATAGAATCGAATGAATCATGTGGCTTATATTTAGGGTTTAGGTTTGGCAATTTTGAAGTCAACGTGGTATATGTGAGGTTGTAAAGTTTTGTGTGATAGTATGTGTTTAAGTGAGGGTTGGCTCGCTTCCGCTGGGAGCTTGGTGTCTTCTTCTTCCTCTGTTTCCCGCTCTTCTTCGGTACTGGGGTATTCGGTAATAGGATCGTGAGCAAGTTCGGCAGCTTTCTTCATACCATGTGAGTGTCATCATTCTGACTATTCGCAGGTGACACTTTGGCCGACGTGGTTCGTGGAACAGGTGGAACGGGAGATGACGTATTGGTTGCATTGGAACTGGGAATGGTTTGCGAATAATATCGGGAGGTCCAGTATTGAGGATTTGAAAGTGAGGGCACGGGGGATTTATACGGGAAGCTACTGTAGGAGACTTACCACCGTTCTCCTGTGGTGCTTTTCGAGAAGAGTTCCCAAGAAGGCCTCAAAGTTCATGCCGGGGGGTAGTGCAAAACCATGGGGAAGGGCCAGTGTGGCAGCTTGAAGGGAACTGGTGGAGTAGAGGTGGGGGCGGGGGATGGTGTGCTGCGTAGTGGCTTGTAATAAGTTGCGACGGGCACCAGTGATGGCCCGCATGCGACCGAAGTCCGATGCATCCAAGGTTGTTTCGGTGAAACCAACGGACGTAAGACGTGAAGCCGGGAGTTGACCACGAGGCCAAATAGAGTACACATGGCCCTTGTCGTCCTTGAGGAATTCGGATACAGTGCGGTATTCGCCTTGATCGATCCAAGAATCCGTCACAAGGTGAGTCATGATGTCGGAGTGGGTGATCAGCTCACTCCAGGTGTCATGGACCTTGTACCACTTGTCCTGTTCGTCGAGAACTAGGAAGGGTTCATCCTTCTTTGCCGGGTCGTACACGTATGCATGTAGGCCGGTTTAAAGGTTTCATTGAACCATTCAAGGCCATTTCTGGGGTTGGATCTGGGGCAACAAACGTTCACCAGTTTGTTCGTCAACTTCACCTCTGGGCACATGATAACAAAGCCTCTTTGGTCATAAGCAGTACCGTTGGTGGCCTCGTACATAAGGAGCTTTTCCCCATCAGCAGAAGGGGGTCCACCAATTTGAATACCCACTCGATCATGTGCTTGTCAGCGAGGGCTTGAATAAAGGCCATCATGTCTTTGGGTTTAACGCCGTTGACGGGGTGGTCTTTGCGTCGGTTGTACATACACCCGGTAGCTTTCTTTTCAACAAAGCCTGTGAACTTGAGGAACATTCCGGGGAAGGGGATTCTTCGTCTTCCTTGAGGTTGCTGGGAATTACAGCGTGGAACTCACAGGAGTTGAAAGGACCTCTTGCTTGTTGCCGGCCTTTTTCTTCTTGCTGTTGATACCCGCGGAAGTAGGGGTTCGATTGCGACGACGTTGTGTTGATGTCGGGTGTTTGGGAAGACATGGTGAAGGAGTTCTGAAAACTTGAAGTCCGAAAGAGGAAGGTGAGTGGCCATGTTGAAAGGCAAAACATTGTAAACAGAAGAAGGTAAAATAGAAAGTACTTACGTGGGCAGAGAGATGGCTGATGGGTTGGCTGCTAGTAGGATGAGGGATGTTTGAGGTTTTGCTGAACTGATTTTGTGACTGTTTCAAGATGATCGATGCGATAGGAATGGTTGCATATATACATTTTCAATGCAAAGAAAGTATATATAGAAAGCGGGGATGTCTTCGCCTGAGTGTATTCGCTGATACGATTGAGCGGAGATAGTGTAGCCTGGCTTGTAATGCTATAGTGAAACAGTACACTTGTATCGAAGGGGGAAGGGGCGTTGCCAGCGGAAGTCGTGTACGATACCTTCGCTAGAAATCGCAAGTTTTCGTGGAAAGATTCGATTTGAATTATTTAAGGGACAGTACCGTAGACACATGAAGAACACACGTGTGATGGAGTTGTGTGAAATCCCCCAATTGCTGCCGGCAGGGATTTAGGGTTATTTGAAACGGTGCATATAATGATATTTTATCCTACCCACAGATGACTAGAGCGGGCCCTCACGATTTTTGATTTTCGGGGTATATGTCATCTAAGTGAAAATCACAGCGAGATGGGAGCGGGGCGCGGATTAAATGAAAGACGTGGGATTTACTTAACGATCAACATGACAGATTAGGAAACGTGGTGCGACTGGTTTCGCTGAAATGAATAAAGATTTGTCACGCTGTTTTCACTGTGTGGTTGGGTGTAGATAGCGTATTGCCTACCAGTGAAGTCAGCTGTTCTATCGTGAAAATGGATCGGAGTATAGATAATAGAGTACAATTTTGCTTCGATTACCACGATGCATACAGCGAAAGTGTCTGTTCGAAGAACTGTGGAAGATAGGCTTCGTTCTCACAAAATCCTAATGGCAGGATGTGTTCCTTCTACATGCAGTGCTTCGTGGGGCTTTCTTTTCTTCTTGGTGGCAGCTTCCATGTCCATGTCCAACTTTGAGCCTTTTGAAATTATCGGCAATGTCAAGACCGTGGAGTGCGTCAGGCTAACATCAACCGTCGGTATGACAATCTGATGATGATGGATCCATGGACCAAGACGTTTACGCCCTATGTCTGCTCGTATGCGATGAAACCATCATGCATGAAAACAATGTGGAATGGTGTTCTTCGATCAGTTAAAGAAGGTTCAAGAACATCTTACGTTGGGACAAAGTCTTCCAAGATCATCCGGATACCGTTGTGAAGCTGTTGAAGACTGTTACCGCTTTAGGGATCCACCTGCGAGGGTTCTGAAGGGATGTCGAAGATGGCTTGTGAACTGGCGCTTTCACCACGTGGAGTTACGGGAAAAGGCGCAACGGTCGGAAATGGGGCATATCCTGTTGCAAAGGATGTCACGGGAAACTGAAGAAGGAGAAGCCTGAAACGCCACTATATCTATTGTCAACAGCAACTTTGTTGGATGTGCACCTGATATTCTCAAGGAATTAACAGAAGTCGAGATAGCCTTTATTACGCCAGTGAAATCTTACGGGTACTGTTTTTCCTATGTTGGCGGAAGGATGAAAACTTTGAAGGGGATCATGACCTTATGTGTTGTAAAATACTCGTTAGTTTAACAAACTATGGCCACGGAGTGGCTTTTGTGACGCGGGCAATTGGTGGGGAAGCCCCACCTAGCTGAGTCGTCATCTACTTATTTGCCCAATCAATATGACCTCATCCACTGGCCCAACGTGGGGCCAGCACCAAGTAGACAGATGCCCTGGGTAGGGGGGTGAGCACATTGATAAGGAACCTGCAGCGCAAAACCTGGGTTACAGGGGCTTACACAGGATTTTTGTCGGTATTGAAACCATTATCACCATAGGGACCGTGAGGACCAGTTAGATTGCCAGACCAAAAGAGTGTCGCCAGTAAGTGGGTCTGGGTGATCAGGTCCCAAGCTGTGGAAGAGGGCTTGGCATGCAAGGCAAGATGCCAGCAGAGCCCGTAGGAGGTGGTACTCCTCAGGCTGGACCAGAGCAGGGTGTAACCCACCAATGCACAAAAATTGTTAGATAGAGGCCAACAAGCAGGCAGAAGATGGGGTAAATGACACACTGCAGTGTGTGGCTCCCAGGAGGGAGGCACAGTGGCTGCTGGAGTGTTGGGGCTGTTCGAGGGGTTGTTGAGTCAGTAGAAGGAGGATAAGGGGGCACTGGAGAGTGGCTGGTGCCAGGGGCAGGAGGGGAGGTTCCTGTTGGTGTTGGAGTGTTGTTGTAGGAGTTGGGATGTAGCATGGTTGATGGTGTGTTGTAGGATAGAGGCGTGCCTCTGTTCAGGGTGAGAACAAAGGCATCCCCCCTGATAGGGTAGGGTGTG